AAGAATTTAATTACTAGCTAATCAAATAAGCTTACGTTATACCAATTATAATAATTAACCAACAACGCCCGTAGCCGTTAGGTCTATTTTGTCCTAGGTGGAAACTTTAGTAAATGCCTAATGACCCTAGTCTCTACGCGTAATTGCATTTATATATTTATTAAACTTAAAATTAATTGATATGGTTGGACGAACATTATCTTTCGCATTATTATTATATTATATATCACATGCGTTTTGTAAGAGAGTTGACATTGCTATTCATCGTCTCCAAAGAACAACGCCACCTGGTTCCATATTTATTGTCTCCAATTTAAACTTAATTTAATCGTGTGATTATTGTCTTAGTTACGTAAATGTTAAGGTTGATTTCGAGAGTTATATGTCAATTATTAAATAGAAACACATTTATTGAATTTTTTTAAATTAAGGTGAGACGACGAACTCCCCTTTCTCTACCTTTTTATAGATAACTACGATACGAAGACGCAAACAAAAAATGCGTAAGAAAGTAATTAATTATGGAAGCATCATCAATCATCATCATATACTAGTAGATATATGTATGTATATAAAAAATGATATATACTTCTAAATACTCTCATGCAATAAAGCCACATGCATGTAGCGTAAGGGAAGGAAGACAAAATTAAATTTTTGGAAATATACACCAAATTAAGAACTTGTTGTTATAAATTCATTGCCAGTTGCACATACAGCGATTTATTACATATATATCCTCTCTCTCTATAGTCCCTCTATAAACTAGTTTTATCACATTTCTTTTCTACAGTATTTTTTTTTTTTTTTCTATTCACGCATATATATATATATATATAGATATACAGCTGCCTCCAACATATATAGTCAACTGATGAAATTATAAGCATCATCATTATAGTTTTGTCTCCTTTTTTTCTTTTCCTTTACTTTCTAGCTCCTCCCTTCTTCATAGATAGATCAAGATGATGGAGATTAATATAGTAAGAAAAGTGTTCTTGATCGGATTCTTGATCTTGATTCTGAATTGGGTATGGAGAGCTGTGAATTGGGTTTGGTTAAGGCCAAAGAGACTAGAGAAATATCTGAAGAAACAAGGATTTTCTGGGAATTCTTATAGGATTTTGATGGGAGATATGAGAGAGAGTAATCAGATGGATCAAGTTGCTCACTCTCTTCCTCTTCCTCTCGACGCCGATTTTCTCCCTCGCATGATGCCTTTTCTCCACCACACTGTTCTAAAACATGGTATGATTCCAGCAACCTAAACTTAATTATCAATTGTTTTAATTAGCGGTTTATGTTATTACTTGAAAGAAATGTGAATCTAACAAGAACCGGCCAGTTATATATTTGATAAATCTTGGGTTAGATTCATAACGATTATTTCTAATTTTGACTAGGAGTAGGTCATCTTCTTCATCATGACTTTTTAATCATTTTCAAAGTATTTATATGAAGAAAAAAAAGAGTTAATTGTGTATACAGATTAGAATGATACACATTTTCATAATTAAGATCTAAATCTGATATCCTTTGCTTTCCTGGTTTCGTCTAAATCTAGTTCACATGCATAAAAATAAAATGAAAACACTCTTAGCGGATCATAACAAAACAACTTTGTCTGATATATATATATATATATATAGATTATTGTTGTACTGTATGTGCTTTGTTTTGTTTCATTTGGTTATTTAAAGTAACAAATGGTAATAATTAATTAGTATATGTTTAAACAGGGAAGAAGTGTTTCACATGGTACGGACCGTACCCGAACGTGATAGTAATGGATCCAGAGACACTACGAGAGATTATGTCAAAACACGAACTCTTTCCGAAACCAAAGATTGGGTCACATAATCATGTTTTTCTCAGTGGTCTTCTCAATCACGAAGGTCCTAAATGGTCCAAGCATCGAAGCATTCTTAATCCTGCTTTTCGTATCGATAATTTGAAGGTATGTTTTTCTTTTACCAAAAAAAAAGGTAATGAATATGGCATGCTCATTTTGACTCTAATAATTATATTTTGTGTTCTTATAATTGATTTTTTAACTCTGACATAATTTGAACTTTGTGGACGTCATTTTCGTCTCATTCTTTAGATTTTGGTCAGTTTCATTTTCTCTTCTACTACTTTTTTTTCGAAAAGAAAGTCAGATAAGTAACGTCTTTTCACTTGTTTCGTAGCTGAGAGATTTAAACAATAATTATATATAAAAAAATCACATATTAACGATTTTTTAAAAAATTAATTTCTTTTCAAGATAAACAGAAAAAAATTAAATGAAGTCTCTTAGACAAAAAATATATTACTCTACCCGAAAGGAAGAAAAATAAAAATAAATAAGGTATTTAAAGAAAAAAGACAAACAGAGAAAAAAAAAAAAAAAAAAGTCCCCAAAGAACTAAAGAATCCACGCCACGCCACCAAGTCACCAACTATAAAAGTCTAAAAGCGAAAAAACAGAAAAGGCCAAAAAGACACATTACAAAAAGGTGAAATCGAATTTTTCAAATCAAGAATTTATAATACTACTACTTTATTTCGACAAAAAGAATTTATCATTTCATTATCAGTGTACTAGAAACCTCACATTTGCAGTGCACTCATTATCATTAACAAAAACATTATGAGCAAATAATTAGCAATAAATCATTTATTTACTTTTGAAATGGTATAATAATATTTACCAAAAAATGAACAGAGCATACTACCAGCATTCAACTCGAGTTGCAAAGAGATGTTAGAAGAATGGGAGAAATTAGCTTCAGCAAAAGGAACAGTGGAACTTGATTCATGGACTCACTGTCATGACTTAACCAGAAACATGCTTGCTCGTGCTTCTTTTGGTGATTCCTACAAAGATGGTATCAAGATCTTCGAAATCCAACAAGAGCAGATCGATCTTGGTCTCCTCGCTATTCGTGCCGTCTACATTCCTGGATCAAAGTAAATAAATTGTCTAAAATCAACTGAGTTTAATATAAGTGGAAAGCTAATTTTGCTGATTCTATTTTTCATGTCTTTTTGGATTTGTCATTTGCAGATTTTTGCCAACAAAGTTCAACAGGAGGTTGAGAGAAACCGAAAGGGACATGAGGGCTATGTTTAAAGCTATGATTGAGACTAAAGAGGAGGAGATAAAAAGAGGAAGAGGTACCGACAAAAACAGCGACTTGTTGTTCTCCATGTTGGCTTCGAATACAAAAACCATCAAAGAACAAGGACCAGATTCAGGGCTGAGTCTTGATGACCTGATAGATGACTGTAAGGCTTTCTATCTAGCTGGTCAAAATGTCACTTCTTCATTGTTTGTTTGGACACTTGTTGCTCTAAGCCAACATCAAGATTGGCAAAACAAAGCAAGAGACGAGGTTTCTCAGGCCTTCGGTAACAACGAGCCAGATTTCGAAGGGTTAAGCCACCTGAAAGTTGTAAGTAGACATTTTCAAAACCTACTAAAAAAAAACACATTATAAAAGTCTTTATAGCTTATTCTTTTCTTTTGAATTTGGGCCATCATCATTAGGTAACAATGATCCTCCATGAAGTTCTAAGGCTCTATTCACCAGCTTACTTCACATGTCGGATAACTAAACAAGAAGTGAAGTTAGAGAGATTCTCTTTACCCGAAGGAGTTGTGGTCACAATACCAATGCTCTTGGTGCACCATGATCCTGACCTTTGGGGAGACGATGTGAAACAGTTTAAGCCCGAGAGATTCGTTAATGGCGTGGCGGGTGCAACCAAAGGAAGACTCTCCTTCTTGCCATTTAGCTCGGGCCCTCGGACTTGTATCGGTCAAAACTTTTCCATGTTGCAAGCTAAACTCTTCTTGGCAATGGTACTTCAAAGGTTCAGTGTAGAGCTCTCTCCATCGTATACTCATGCTCCTTTCCCAGCTGCAACTACATTTCCACAACATGGAGCTCATTTGATCATCCGAAAAGTTTAGGAGGTAGAAGAAGAAGAAAAAATGTAAAGGTGCTTCCTTTCTTTTTTGTTCATCAACAAAACAGAACCTTGAAGGTGTCTAGTGGTAAATGCAGTTTGAATCCTGTCAAGAAATCTTATTTGGGTGTTTTTGTATATAAGAAACAGATTCAAATCTATAAATTTCATAAGATTTCTTGATTGTCATGATATTGCTCTTTGCGATTGTTCACCACCACCTGATTTAGTTTATACTTTTAACATAATTAATTTCATTTGTATCTTTTAATTCCCCTTTAGTCCTCACACACATAAGAGAGGATTTTGGTTTTTTCTGTCAAATTTCAACTTTACTACAAAAAAAATCTTGTGCAAAAGAAAATGCCACGTGAAATAATGACCATATTTATGTTGAATCTCGACAAAATAATTAGCAAAACATGCTTTAGCTAATCTAATCTAATAGTTTGTCCAAAAAAAAAAAAAAAAAACCTAATCTAATGTTTTTTTGAAAAAGAATCAATGAAGATAAAACATAATAGAAATGGTTGGCGAGACACATCAAGATCAGATGTTTTTGCATTTATATTTCTTATTTGTTTGATTTGTTTAGGTAATTCGGTCCAGACAAACATTCTAGAATTGAAACCACAATTTATTAATTTATTCGTTTCAGAAAATTTATGTTTCATTTTTAGTTAGCTAAAGAAATTCAATCAAAACCAAACTTAAATCTAACTAACTAAATAATTATAAAAAATTCCAAATAATTATTAGCAAACTTATCAATATTACCAAACTTCATTTCTAAAATTTTAACGAAAAACTTTTTAAAAAATACTGTTAATTAGTTTTCACTATTCAGTACAAAGATGTATAGAATGTTATCACAGATCGATTTCTATAAACAATTAGCTCCATTCACATGTATCTAAATATATGAGTTACTTTTATTTTGCAATAATAAGCATGATTTTCCTTTGTGACATACAGTAAAAAAAAATCTGTGTTTGAAGTTTGAAACAAGTAAAGAGTGTTACAGTTTCCTCTGCCAAATACCCTTTGAAGCTAATCAATCCTTTCAAGATTAAACATCACCATATCCTCAAGAGCCGATCTGAAACCACTTCTCGGAAGACAATTCAGATTCTTTAACGCAAGCTCACCTTTCTCCTTAGCCAATTCTTGAGCTTTCTTGATCCCACCGCGATTTCTAACTATTTCAATCGCTTCTTCAAGCGATCCAGGCTCACAAAACTCAGACTCAATGATCTCTCTTAGCCTCGGCTCATTCTCTAGTGCGAAGATCACTGGCGCTGTTATGTTACCTTTGGCTAAGTCATTAGCTGCAGGTTTCCCTAACTGCTCTGTGGATTGAGTGAAGTCCAGAATGTCATCAACTACTTGAAAAGATAAACCGAGATTCTTTCCGAACTGATACATTTGCTCTGCGACCTCGCTTTCGACTTTACTGAAAATTGCAGCTCCTTTGGTGCTTGCAGCTACTAATGAAGCTGTCTTGTAGTAACTCTTTAGCAAGTAGTCATCAAGCTCGACATCACAATCGAATAAACTTGATGCTTGCTTTATCTCACCGCTTGCAAAATCTTTGATTACCTGAAAATGATAAATCAAGATTCAGACCAAATTTTCTTTGTATTATGTAGTTTCTTCTAATCTCAGAAAAGAATTTTACCTGACTTATGAGCTTAATGACTTGGAGGTTTTCGAGATTTGCTAAGTACCATGATGCTTGAGCAAACATGAAATCTCCAGCTAATACAGCTACTCTTGTTCCGAAAAGCTCGTGAACCGTTTCTTTTCCTAACAAACACACACAGAAAGCTTAAACCTTTGCAGAGAAAATGCATATTCCGATCAAAAGAATGAAACTTTTGTCTTACCTCTTCGCATATCACTTTCGTCTAACACATCATCGTGTATCAAACTTGCGGTGTGAATCATCTCAATGATCTCACCTAAACGCCGATGTTCTACTGTAAGTTCCCTGCACCAAGATCAGCTAGAAACCATCATTTTTATTGCTAAAGATTATGCGCAGTTTCGAGGTCAAAGATGTAATAGTAATGACAGTTATATAGATTACTTTAAGCCAGCTAATTCCGCAGTGGCTCGTGATACAAGGAATACCAAACCCGGTCTCATCCTCTTGCCACCAGCACTGAAGATTTGCTCAGCCGCAGATATCAAAACCGGATTTTCTGCACCAACAATCTATAAAAGAAGAGCATTTACATTAGAAGCATGACCCTCTATTAAGAGACCAGAAAGAAATGTTGCCTGAGGTACTAACCGATAAAAGATTGTCGTTCAACCTCTGCAAATCATCAGCTACTACCTCAAACAGATTTTCCAAAGATATCGGCTTTCGTGACTCTTGCCTCAGATTGAGCATCACTGTTTTATCTTGACCAATACCTACACATCCATCAATATTCTCATGAGGCCTCAAATTAGCCTTAAAAACTGAAGAAAACTCTTAAATATGTAAGCTTTTGACTTCTCTATGAATTATCTAGTTTTGAGTATCTCAGCTTATAACAACACTCTTTGCCTCTCAGCCAAAGCTAAAAGGCTCAAAACTTTATTTTTTGGAAGAGTCAGAGACTCTGTCTCATGAGAGATGTTCTGCATAGCAAACATAACTCAAGCTCAGAACTTTACTGTTGTTAATGTGTAATGATTGAGTTCCTATGTACCATAAAGGTGAAGACCAATCATTCAATTACTTAACCAACCAAACCTCAAAAATCAAAGAATCTCAATCAACCAAAATCAGAAAAATCGTTTACCATTGACCAGAGAATTCTCCTTGGATTTAGCCGGAACCGCTCTGCAAGTACCGAAATCTCGCCGGAGAAAGACCAAATTTCCAGCATAGCTTCTGCCACCAATCATACAAACATTCTTGGAACAATTCCCAAACAAGAATCGACGACTTGTTGAAGAAGAGCTACAAGAATGATCAAGAACACTCGTACCCAAGTCTATATTCCGACATGACATCATCATTTCTCAGACAAAATCCACAAGTGACGACAACTTTTATGCAAACCCAAAAACCAAAGAAAAGACGGTTAATAAGTTTCGGAAACTAAGAGTCCAAAGAGAAGAATCTTCGGGAACTGAGAGTCCAATGTTAATTTGTGCTGACGAGCGAGATTGGATGTGTGTATGGAAAATTTTCGGAAATATAAAAAATAAAAAAGACAGAGAAATTTATAAGTTTGTGAATCGATCCCTTTTATTTATTTTTTGATGATTTTCTTTGGGTGGACGAGACAAAACCACATAAGAAGAACTCTCACTCGCTCTCAAAACTCGACCTTCGGAGGACGAGAGAGATTTTCAGATTTGTGTGTGTCCGTTTTTTCTTTAATTCAATATACAAATTACTTAGAGAGAGGGAAAAAAAAAAGAGAGTCCATCGTTCTAATCAGAAGCTGAAATGTCACCACGTGTGTTCTATCTATTGGTCTGTCATCTAACTCGTATCAAATATTTCGAGATTAGAGAATATCCATTTTTCTTATTTTAAGAGAATTATAATATCATTATTCTAGATCTCACTATTTTTATAAGTTTTTACCGTACAATACTTTCGGTTCTAGGGTTTTTTTTTTTTTTTTTTTTGTTTATAACAAATCATCAAATTACGTGAAACCATGATTTTTAAATGTTGACATAAGTTTCCAACTTCATTGATAAAATGAATTCTGTCTCTTTTTTTTTTTTGTAAATCAAAGTAATTACTGTTATGACTTGGTAGTTTACAATTCCATTCAGTTAATTTTTAATAGATTTTTCTCATTCCATAGTCCGTTTACATATATGAGAAGATTAAAAACAATGGTTAAATTTTCTTAAAAGCTTTAAAATTTAAATACAAACTAAAAAATAAATAATCAAAAATCAATTCAAGGGATTAGGGGGACCAAGCAATATATTAGGGCATAAATGGGCCACACAAATATATTAAAAAAAATTAAGCTAAAGAAGCAAAAATCGTAACTCCTTTCTTTCTTTTCTGTCGGTAACTGAATTTAATTGATTTTAGATTAAACAAATAAGTACAGCTTTTAAAATAAAAACCCTTTCCACCTAATTTAAATCACTGAGCTTCCTTTACACAAGTTAGTATCATCAGTAAATAGAGAGACTTAGCAAATCTATATGTGTACATATATACTAGCCAAAGTATAATAAACCTCAATAATAGTCGATGCTTGTCTATCTTGTTGAGTGTCTTGATATTCAAATGCCTCTTATGATCCTGAAAAATGCAACAAACCAAAAAACACCAATTTCAGATCATGAATTCGATCTCTCTTTGCATCAACAATAACAAAAACCTTTCTCTTCTCTCTCTCTCTCACCTTCCAAGCCGGGATAGCTCAGGTTCCGCCAAAAGCATATCTTGCAACGGTTTTGCATCTGTATACCTTTCACTAGAACTAAAAACAAAAACAATTGTCACAAGACAGACACTGAGAGAGGGAGAGAGGAGATGTAGAGATTTACTTACTCGCAGATGTGATCGATTGTGAGTAATCTATGATGAATAACTAAATCATGACCGACATAAGTCACAACCAAGGAACCAGCATCAGGATGTGGCCAGCTTCTTGAAGTAGGGAACCTGAGAATGAAAGTTCCCGCTACTTGATTCTGAAGCGAACGTTCTGCCTCTTCTTTAGTCACAAACCCTTCTATCCATTTAGGCGAAGCTGAGCGCCACATTCCGTTAATCAATCCCCTGGATATAGCCGAAGCAACAGGGAACAACCAACACCACATTTTCTCAAAATTCTCTTGAGTTATGTATTCATAGCATCCACATATTCTTCTTAGAAGGTCAAAATCCTGATTACAATTTAATGTCAGAATCACGGCGACAAGAGCAAAACTTTGATCTTGGTGAAAGAAATATGACCTGGTGAGTGAGAGATCTACTGCTGCATTTAGCTATTCTCATGAAATGTTCTTCAATCTCAATTACCACATTGTCCCAATGAACATGTTGATAGTTCCGAGATATCAGATTCCACGCATTTGTTCCTTCTGCTATCAATTGTCTTGCCATTTTGATTTGATAGCTGGAAAATTTGAAAGATTAGTGATCTATTTTATTTTCGTAATATACATATTTGAGGCAGGTGTGAGTTTAATTTCATTTCTTTACCTGTGGTGGAAGCATCCGGAATAGAGAGAAACTTGATCTACAAATTCCGAGACTTCTTCATCTGATGAATTATTTGTGATTTCCTTCAGAAGAAGAGCTCTCTCTGTTAAGTTTCCAAGGCAGTATTTGAAAATAATCGAGTCTGAGATTGTATATCTCCTGAAAGCAGTCGAGTCTCTAATTTCAGTGTTTTCGGAATCAGTTGAAGAGTTATCTTCTTCGTCTTCTTCTTCATGGTTCTGAGGTCTCCATTCCATACTCGTACCATTTCCATTCTCAGTCTAACTCGAAAGAAACAACAATGCAGAATAACAGTACGTGGGATATGGATACAAAGCAAAACAAACGTAACTCAGAGAAATTGATTATGTACCTCACTCTCAGAAACCTTTTCTTCCCCTAATCTGATCCGTTTCATAGAGGAAGAGCTATGTAGAATGTCGGATGTTCCATTACTTCTTGAAGCAAGTTCTGGTTCTCCTCCATCTAATGGATAATCTATGCGATTCGACCTTTTAGGGGTAAGAGAATCATGGTTCCTCGAAATGCAACGGATTTGGTTGGTAACAGTTTCAAGGAAAGGATAATAGGCCTTCACTTCTGGTATTTCGAATTTGACACAGAACAATCTCTTATCACTCTTGGAAGAAAGCTACAAGACAAATCAAAACAAGAATCCTTCAATGCCTCTAAGAAGAGACAAGAATTCTAACGAGAATGTGATATCCCGTTCCAAAGGCTTAGAATTTATTATAATCACCACCTGAGATAATTTGAGCTTGAAAGAAGCACATCCGTTCAATAAGTTGCATGGCTTATCTTCAGCAGAGAATTCAACTCCTTCATAGCTTACCAAAAGGGGAGCCTCCGAGTCACTCATCTTCTCAACTGGCATCCCACTATCAGCATACAGTAGAGAAGCCACAACCTGCAACATCAAACCAATAATGCGCTACCAGAAATACTTCCAGAGCTAAACAAACACAAAAGTTTAGAGAAAGCATAAGAGAATGAACCTTCACATCCTTGTGCACAGGCTGTCCAATAGCATTGGTTAAAACAACATCCAAGGAACAAAATGTTCCGCTAACGATAATCCAAACACCATCTTTATCTAATCCAATTCCAGATGTAGATGGCTTATCAACAGATAACCATAAAGGTGGGTCCTGGCGAAGAAATGAAGCGAAATAAAGAAACACAGGACAAGAGTCTTTTGTTGAAAAGGAGGAGAGGGCAAAGACAAGAGACTACCTTTGTGTAGTGATAATTTGCCGGGACATTAGAAGGCAAAACTTCAGCACAGTGGATGAAACCCTGAACACTATAACCATCTCCACCAACACTGAATAACGATATCTTTCGTGCGCAATCTGAATTTGTACTATTGGTCATCAAGGAAGTTAAGACTTGCTCTCCTACAATCTCTCCACAAATATAAAGGCGCATGTAGTTTCTAGAAACCTAAGTGACACCAGAGATCAGTAAATGCCCAGAAGATAGATATTGAATAAAATAATAAGAGTCCTCAGAGATCTTATAATTATTATTACCTCGCAACCCACATGAACCCATTTTTGAAGAGGAAACTCAGCAGTTGTAGAAACATTAGGAACTTCAGTCCAAGAAGAAATGTTAACAGGATCAGGAGCTTCATTGTGAAGGAGAGTCAATGGCAAAAGCATCATCTTCTTGTTTTCATCTAGAACAAGGAAAGGTGCACTAACGCTCATGTCAGAGTGAACCTGAGAAGAAAGCCACTATTTTTAATCAGAAGCTGTTGTTTCAATCAGACACTCCTATAATGAAATCACAGCGATCAACCTCAAAATCGGTAAATAAACAAGAATAACAAAAAATGGGAAGACAAAACTGAACTCGAAATTTCAAAGAAGCAACTCAAAGTTCCAACTTTTTCCCCCAATTCCAACAAGCAAGAAGAGATGAATATGCAAGATCGATTATATAACAGAACTCAAGAGATGAACATTTCAATAACAAAAGATTTCGAGAACTCACCTGTCTGATAATTGTAGAAGGGTATGTGGTGGAATCTAAGAGATAAACCCAAAAACAAAGTGAGAAAGTCTCAAAAGCTTTGTTTTCGACTTCAACATCGACATTAAAATCCTCCAACAGAGAGTATTTCTCGGTGTCAATTGCACAATCACCCGCCATTGTAACCCACCCAAAAAGAAAAAGCTCTCGACTTTGCAAGCGAAACCCTTAAAACCCAGAAAATGAAAATACAGACAGATGAAGAAAAAAGTGAAAACCTTTATCTTTCTCTCGCTTTTTTCTCGTTGCCTAAACAAACACAATCGAGAGCTTAAAGGAAACTGAAAGGAAACGCTGAGGAATGTTTCGTCACGTCTTTTGACGGCTGTTAATTAACGGTTGGTACCGTCGTCTTCCGGTGGTTTCAGTCTATAGGGAAGATCAGCAAATAATCTACTGCCTCGCGACCACGAAACTAAACTAGACTACCCAATCATATTATTCTTCGATCTGCTGACTTGCGTTGACTACTATTTATTTTTTTTTTTACCATTTTCTTTGGATAAAATCTGCAGTTACAAATTCGTTTTGATTTCGGTTTGAGATTCTTCGTGTTATTTTATTTTTCGGTTTTACAGAATGAAACCAAATAAAAACTGTTTATCATTTTATTTTTATTTGATGAAACTATGGTTTTATCTTAAGTCTAGATTTGTTTTGATTTTAATTAATAAAAAAGTTTTATTTGGATACACTAAAAATCGATTTTGGTTTTTGGATTCATCTTATCAAAACCAGTCGGTTTATAGAAGAATTTCAATCTGTTTTCGGTTGTTTCGAAATGGTTTGGTTTAGCAGTTTATCTACTATACATTTTTGCAGCAGTTTTTGGGGTCCCCAAATCGGGTCAAAATATGACCCGGAAATCTTTAATTTTGACCCGCTTACTAGACATTCGGATCTTACCAAATTTGATAGTTTGCTCCGATTTTTTTCACCAAATCTTTCCTTAGTTGCGGCGACCTACATTCATGGCAGAAATGATTAAGTTTCTCAATTCAATCTCAGTTAAAGATACACAAAATATTTCCAGTTACACCAATCAAGAAGCAAACATTCATAGCATATCTAATCTTCCCTATTATAACGCAATAGTAACTACTCCATTTATCATTTCTTTCTATCAACTGAAGCATGTATCTCGGAGTGATCTTATTGAGTTGGAAAATAGTTAATATAGAAGAGATTTCATCTATATTCTCGCAGAAATTAACCTAGCATATTCTCTTTTATTCCAATAATTAAGATCACGCAATATATTTAATCCTTGATCATCAAGGATTTTATAATATTCGCCTAAACCTAATGGAACCTACTAATTCAAACTATATAAATAGCCGCTCATTCCCATCGTCTCTATTCACACAATCTCTCATTTCCCAATAGCAATATATCAGATAATAAAATTTTCTTTATTTACCTTCACCAATGGCTTCCCAATTTGCAATGTTAAGAGATGTCAGACCATACAAGACATCTTGGCGTGTCCAGGTTAAGGTGCTCCATTCTTGGCGCCAGTATACCAACAACACAGGTGAAACCCTTGAGTTGGTCCTCGCTGATTCACAGGTAAAACAACAATATATCAGAGAGTAGCATTTTATATTTCTATACATGAGCAACATCTAAAAACCTAACTCTAATTCTACTTCATTATTAAAACAGGGTGTCAAGATTCATGCTTCTGTGAAGAAGGATTTGGTTGCTAAATATGTTAACAGCCTACAACCGACCCCCTCATGCTGGTGTCACCGGCGCAGCAGCTGCCTGCCGTCTGGGCAGTTCAGACCAACCG